TATGTTATAAAGTAACGAATAGGTCTTAAAGTAACCCAGATATTTTAATTTGCTAAAAATGTTATAACTATAAACATTCATATTCAGAAATGTATAATATATTATATATTGTATAATGTAATAGAAATGTATAATGTATAATGCATAATATATCTAGTAAATTTCGGGTTATTAGCTCAATATTTTACTTGAGATAAGTACTTTAATTAAAATATGAACAGTAACTTAATTTCTTAATTACTAAAGTTATTTTCTAAATTGAAAAAAATATGTGTAAATATTTTATTTATTTTTATCTTTTATATTACAATCATATTTAAAATAAGAAATAACTAAAAAAGATTTGCGAATAAACTGATAAAATAAATGCTTTAATAACATTAAAATATTTTTTCGATAAAATATATTTTAACATATTGAGGGTTTAGATACAATTACTACATATAAATTTGTACATGTAAAACACAAGTGTTTTTTTTTATTTTATTTAATCGCTATAGTTAAATGAATTAAACTTAGATATTTATATATGTATGTAATTTTTTTTACAATATGGAACATTTTAAATTGAAATATAGATATACACATAAACGTTTTAACTGTATAAAATAAATTTAAATTCGTGAATTAATACACAAAATAAATAATTATACTTACAGGTCGTTCAATTTTTTTTCGAAATTGGAAAACAGCATTTCTGTTTAATCGAAATAAAATATTAAAAATAAAATTATTATTAACATAATACTATATCAATAAATATATAAGCTAACAAATACTCTAAATTTTCTTTTTATTCAAATTAAATTATATTTAAAAGTAATTGAAGGGGTTTAGAAATTTTATGTAAGCCCTTTTTAGGTATTTATATGGTTTACTCTTCTATTTTCTCTGTGGTATTTTTATACAAACATATTTATAACTTGGTGAATAATGATAATTGATAAAAACAATGATAACCTGAAAATATCATAACTATCTTGTGCGATAGACTATTAAATTGTGTTATGATACCCTCAGCTTAAACTAGGTAACACTAACGTGCCGAGCACAATAAAGGAAGAATTGTCGGTTTGTAGTCAACGGCAATTGACGTTGAGCCGGTTATTAAGCACAAAACAAAATAAGATTACTAATGGCACTAAAAACAATATCAAAATATAATAATTCTTATAGTAGTGAAATAGTGTCATACTAATTTAATTGATATAATAAATATTTATTCATATATTATACTTCTAAATCAAAAAACTACTAATCAGGAATAATGAAAGAAATGGGAATTGGTTTTGATTTTGGTATAATTCACCAACTTCTTATAATTAAACACTAGCTACAGATTTGCATCGAAGCGTTTCTTATGACAGTGATTTTAATCTCTGACAGATATCATCTATAATACAATATATATATTATCTATCTATCTAGCTGTTGTTTATCGTTTTACTTTATATAGTTCAATAGAAAAATATATAAAGTAATTTAGTCATTTTTCCATTTAAACTTATATTTTTCGAGTTATATTACATTTAATATGAGTATTAAAATTTAAAAATAAAAGATACATTTTTTGTTTAAAATTGTCTTCTAAACAACTTTTGTACGAAATTTTTTTTTTGTAAGTTATATATTTCTTGAGAAAATTAAAAAAGCTCATATTTTTGAACTTTTGCAAGGCTGCAAAAAAAAAGCTCAATTCGAATCAATGAGGACTTTTAGTATGTCATTAAACATATCTTAATTTAACTTTTTAAAAAAATAAAATTTGGTTGGGAATTTTAGATGACTATATATGTCATTAGAAATGACATATATAGTAGCAGTTTAATTAGCTGTAGAGAAGAAAAACAGCTAATGAAGATGATTAAATAAAAAAAAAAANTTCCGCCATTTGCCAAAATTACTCCTTCGTTGACTGGCCTATAACATGCAAATAGATTTTTTCTATTACCTTTTTTTGAGATTATTACTAATTTGTAAAAAACGAGTAATTACTTGTATAAAATTGGTTCAGTAAAAGCTGAGAATTTTTATGGACAGATATAAAAAAAATACACAAAATCAATACCTTTTTAGTTTTACATAGAAACTGAAATAAAAAACAATCAAAAAGTTAATTAATATAAAATCAATTGTCAAATTAAGGTGAAACCCAATATAATTTTTTTAGAAATGACATATATAGTAGCAGTTTAATTAGCTGTAGAGAAGAAAAACAGCTAATGAAGATGATTAAATAAAAAAAAAAAAAGTTAATCCACATTATCCGATATAATGACTTTTTAATCAACATCTTCGACGTAAAAATTACAGAGAAGAAACCAAGAAATCACTTAAGGAAACAATATTTCGAAAATATCCTGGAATTCATGAATTGTCTTTTGTTTTAGTGAAGAACTTGGCGTCAAACAGAGAGAAGTGACTTCGAAGACAGGGCATTGCCTTTAATAGATGATGACGATGATAGTAACAGTTTACCAAAAAATTGACATTATTATAGAATGGTAGTAGAAAAAGCTAATAGAGTTAAAAAATGAATGAATAACAGAGTAAAATTGTTCAACTTTGTAGTGAAAATCAAATTTCCATATTAAACCTAACTCGACAATATAGAATTTAAAAATATTAGTAATTAATGATTTTAATTGTTTATATGAAGGTAATTGGTTAAGCAAGTTCTAATTTGATAAAGTGGAAATTATTTTCAAGTTTTAAGGGTAATATCTATGACTAGATACATCATAGCTAGAAACATCATATTCTCTAATCACTCCACTCATCCATCTAAGCATTCTCATCTCTGCTACACTCATTCTCTGCTCTACTTTCTGATCAACCGCCCAACACTTTAAACCATACATCATAGCTGGTCTCACTACAGTCTTGTAGAATTTACCTTTCAGCCTCATTGGAATTCTTTTATCGCATAAGACGCCAGATGCTTCTCTCCACTTCAACTATTTCTGTGTCTCACATCCTCGTCAATACCACCACTCTTTTGCACAACTGACTCTAAATACTTACTGAAGAAGTAAATTTATAAAAGATAAATTGAAATTGAAGTACGATCAAAAGACAGAATAAGTAAAATAGAAAAGGCAAAATTAGCATTCGAAGAAGAAAATGTTTTAATAAAAAAAACTATTAATAAATTTCAGCTGGCAGAAAACGGGTACCAAATTATTTAAATTATTTAATGTTTAATTTTTTTAGTACATTGAATTTTATTCTGATAAAAGTGTAATAACTAGTTTAAGTTCAGACTCTATGCTAAGTAGTAATGAATGAAAATGACCCGAAAAAACCAGAAAAAATAATAAAATCAATCAAATCTACTTTCAAACAAATAAAAGGAGAAAGTAAATTAACGTATTGAATCAATAAAAATATAGGCGACAAAGTAAGTTATTACTTAGACAAAGTGTATTATAATATAACTAAACAGTATGCGTTTGTTGAATATTTCTCTTAGTTGTTTATTAAAATTTTTTGTTTCAAAAGAATTATGTTCTTCTAAAAATGTAAATAATATGAATTAATAAATAATAAATATAATTTATAAATAGAAATGTTGTTTATGGTAAATGTAAATGGTTAAGTAAGAAATCATTTTTGTGGACATAAACAGAATAGCCTATCGTAATTCTATATTATGATAGTGACGATTATATTACGATATATAGGTCGTACGCTTAAATTAAAACAATACCTAGCAAAATATTGTACTCTAGTTTCAATAACAGTATACTTGTATTGAAAATCGATGCCAACTAATTAGTACAATTAGAACTGTATCAGGAACGCTGAAGATTACTCATTTTCCATAACTCACTGTGATGGATAATATAACGCCTTTATCTTTGGAAAGAGAAAAACATTAAGATGGGAGATGTACAAATACTTAAAATCTCCTAGTCTGCCAATTTATGAGGATATTATGAATTTACCTAGTATGGGACTGAAATCATGTAATTTCAATCGGAAAATTATGAATGATCCAGTTATGGTAAAGTGGATTGCTGAATGAAAACATGGATTACTAGTAACCCTTTAAATTATGACCTCGTATCTCAGCCAGAACAGAAATTTCAGATTTATATTTCTCAAGAAAAGAATGGACAACCCTAAATTGCTTTAGGTGTAGCCAAGGAAGATATGATTATCTCATGTCGAAATGGAATTTGGCTCAGAGGGCTCAGTGTGAGTGTCGATACTCAAATCAAATAATGAGCCATATAACTGAAGATTATCCCAATTATTCATTCAATAAAAGTCATCACGGTCTTCACAAATCGAGTGAAGAGGCTGTTGAATGGTTAAACAACCTAGAATTTGAAGTTTAATGATGTCTAGTAAGATAAATATTTAGTCAAATAATCTATCTAAATGACTATTCCATATTAACATTTAAGCCAATATTTTAGAAATCATTGACGATTAAATATATAAAACTGGAGGTGAAATGCAGATCTGTTTTTTTATTTCTAGGCATTATTATTTAACTGTGTTACTCCTCCCGTTTTGTTATATTAAGATAAAATCATTATAAATACTAGTACCAAAGTTTTTAACCAGATATGTCTTTAGATAGATGATTCATAAAATTAATTAAGTAATTTTTAGTGGTTGCTCACTAATTATTTATTATAATGACGCATTGAACTAGGACCGGCGGAATGACAATGCTCTTGCTTGGGGACTCATATTTTAAAGACATTATAACCATAAATTAAATATAAAAAAATTAAATTCTTAAAAATATATATATATAGAAGTCTTTTATTAAAAAAATATAAAGAGGGCCCCGTAAAAACATTTTTTTTTTGGATTTCGTTATATAAAATATATAAAAAATCATTTTTAATGATTGTAAAGTGTGAATTAAATAATTATTTCTGTTAAAAAAAACACAAAATTATACATTTACCCATATTTTATTTTAATGTTATTAAATATAAAAATCAATAATGGTTTTTAACGTTACTATGTCATTAACGATTTACATTTTTTAACTTGGTGAAATTTTTTTAATATTACGTCGTTGCAAATGTACAGGTGAAAATGGTAACAAATACAGTAATTTTACAAAAAAGATACTTTGGTAATAATTAAAGCAAAATAAAAATTTTGTAAATGTTATTAAACTATATGTATGAAGAAATCAAAACATTAATTATTAACAATAATAAAAAAAATAATTTTATGCAATCAACTTTTAAAATTCATTTCAATGGTACCTAGTTTTTATTATTTAATGAAAGTTAAGTAGTTAAATCATNATTTCAATGGTACCTAGTTTTTATTATTTAATGAAAGTTAAGTAGTTAAATCATCCATCAAATCCTTAATAAATGGTATAAGTTTTTCGTCAATTTTTCTACCACTGCAGTTAATTTTATCGAAACCCAGATTTTTATAACAAGTATTATAAACATTTTCACAAAAATTATCAAAATAATAACATGCATTAAGATAAATTTTAATTTGAAATAGAGTATTTGGATCAATTAATATATTTTTTAAAGTCCTAAAATAATTTAATTTTTCGTATTTTTCATAAAAAGGTTCATTAAAAATACAACAAGTGTGCAAATAACTATTGCTGCCTTGTATGTGATAATGAAAGTTATTAAGAAAATTTTGAAAAATTACTTGAAATTTTTGCAATGTTTCATTAATTTTTTCCTTATTATTTTCATTGACAAAATCAATTTTAAAATAATTATTATTCTTCATGAAAATAAGAATTAGTGCAACCCATTCTAATATTCTATGTAAACTAGAATGAGATCTGAAATGAACAACCCATATTGATGATTTATTTAATGTAATCAAAGCATTATACAATCCTATAAGCATTATTTTAGATTTATTGAATGATTTAAATAATTCAATTAAACAACTGTTCTGGTAGTTCAAGGAATCCTTATTACAATAATATAATATAGTAGATAACAGTAAATGATAATTTTTAAGTATTTCGGTGTATCTACATCTTAATAATTGTGACACATGTTCTTTTTTTATTCGAAAATTTAGAAAATTAATTTCATCTTTTATTATGGAATTTACACTACAATTTTTTCTATAATAAACTATATTTATGTGATTCATTGATTCCCAACCAGTTCCTAGACGAAGAATATTGAGTGCTTCAATTCCATCATCTTGTTTTATTTTTGGATCTTTTGGTGGTATAAGTCTATTTTAAACAAAAACTAAATAAATTACACAATAAACTTTATAATATTAAAATTTCTTATTGAGATATTGTTTTATTTTCATTTATATTTATTTTGTAAAAATGGTTAAACATAGAATTTGTATACAATATTAAAATACAAAGGAATTTAAAAAAATGAATTTCAGAAAAGAAATTTATAATTTATAAATTAAAAATTTGTTTAGAGTATTATTATTATTATTATAAATTCATATAAGCTTATTAATACTTTAAAATAAGTGTCATGGATAAGTCTAAATTTTATTATGCACAAATTAGGTATATATTTATATATATAAATATAATAAAACGCAATTTAATAAATAAAATGCTGCTAAAAATTATTCGAAATTACAATACTAACATTATATCACAACAAAATCTTATTAAAAAGTTTTTTTTTCCAAATGTATTATAAAAGAGATATTTCTAAACTAATCTGGAGAAACAATCAATATTTTGTAATATACTTATAATTACTACTATAATTTTATAGATGAAAAGGCGTTAGTAAATAAATTAGTTTAGTTCACAAATTGTTAGAGTATATCTTAAAGAAACAGCAGAGATATTAAATGGAACTCTGGATAATAATTCATGACGGTGTATCATTCTATTTGTCAGTTTGTAGTCCGATAAAATATCAATGGCTTTCCAGCAATCGGCAAGGCTATTCAAATATTGTTAGGAGTAATAATACTAAGATCTACACTCACTTGGTTTTATAAGTTAGAATTCTTAAAAATCGTGTTTTTAGAACTCAATTATCTAAATTATTGATGAGGATGCCAAATTAATGACCCATACTCCATTATTGATCTTATTAGAGCAATATATGATAGGTCGGATTAGTAAATTCCTTACAGTTTTTTTTAAGAAATCCACAAGTGCGCAAAGTTACAGGGTCCCACGTTACACATGGTGATACACGGTGTCCGTCAACATACACCATGTTTATCAGTCGTCGCCTTACTAGAGTATTTGTAGTTTGACTGTCCAACACCGCGTGTCATACGCCACGAATCAACCGATTAGCAACAGCGGACGTCGCTATTAACGCTTCTGATTTTTTGGACATCTGAGGACCATGACGGACACCGCGTTGCCAAAACTAGCAAAATTCTCACAATATTATGCGATGATTTCAATTTATTGTGTTAGTCTTTTCGATTCTATTTTAAAATAATCTTTTGTTATTCATCTATAATAAACAACCCACGAGTGTCTATCAAAAACAGTAGGGTCAAGAGGGGTAATTGTGAATATGAGTAATTGTAAATGAGGCTGGTATTCTAAAAAAATAAATAAATTACAACCACCGAACTCTATAAAATTATCATTTAATATTTTTTCTCCCATGAATCATATTTATTACAGCATTTTAGAGGTTATGTCATTTGTATTATTATTTAGAAAAAGTGCACTGAAAAAACATTCATTTACATTTACCCCAATATCAAAGGGGTAATGGTAAATGTCTATGATAATTGTAAATTACGCTTTTTTAGATTTGAAATTAAAAATTTACTAAAACTATATTTATTATGTCCACTAGTACATATGTATAATAATATAATAAATGTTTATGTAAATAAACATTTACAATTACTACATCTAACCCTAACTCCCGTTAAAAATAATAAAAAAAAAATTAACATTACCTGTTTATAAAACTTATAATACATGATTTATTTCAAAACAATTTTTTTTCTTATTACACAGCAAAAAAAAAATGTATTGACATATAATTAGTAAAATTTATACTTAATATATTTGTATTACGTTAATTGCAGAATATAGGACATCGTGTCATTCATATTATAGTATGTTTGGTCATTTTTTAGAAAAATGATATGTTCAAATTCNTATTACACAGCAAAAAAAAAATGTATTGACATATAATTAGTAAAATTTATACTTAATATATTTGTATTACGTTAATTGCAGAATATAGGACATCGTGTCATTCATATTATAGTATGTTTGGTATTTAAAATATAAGTTATTTACATTTTATATGAAAATATAAAATCTCANTCATAAATAAATCTAAGCTATAAATGAAAATATCTCATATTTAAAATATAAGTTATTTACATTTTATATGAAAATATAAAATCTAAAAGTAAAAATTCTTACTGAGGTGTTTTTGGATTAAGAAAATGTTCAAAGCCAAGATTTTTATACCACATTTTTATAGTTTCGATATAGAGTGAATTAAGTTTATTACATGTATAATAGACGATTTCAAAGCTAGTTTCGTTAGAGCATTCTTCGATTTGATTTTTTTTCAAATCAGTTTTTATAGTAGTGTCAATGATTAGACTATTTTGAAAAAGATTGTTTACTACTTTTAATGCCACTTCATAAAAACTTTTAAAATTCTCAAATTGCGTTATGGAGACTTTAAGATTTGGTAAGATATTAATGTCAACAACATAGGCGGCATTTAATTCTTTGACGAATTGTTGAAGAAAGTCAATTTCATCAATTATTGGATGCGGCGCGAGTCCTTCGAGAAACAAATACTTTATATCTATGTAGCTTATAAACTTCATAGCATTGTAGAGTTTTTCAAACATAGTCTTGGAATTTTTCACTTCTACTTCAAGTAATGATACACAATTAATAAAATTTTCTACTAAATTTCTCTTATGAAATTGTTTACATTCATCAATGATAATATTCATGTAATCGAGAAATTTTTTTAGTATTTCAGTGTACTTGTAATTGAGTACACTTATTGTGTACCGATAGTTACGTGAGAAATCATCTTTTTTGCAATTTTCCTCTATTTTGGGATAATTTAAAAATTGTTTTAGTTTCAGGTTTAGCATTTGATTTACTCCAATTTTTGAATGAATGTGAGTTACGACTGTGTTGATGTAATTTTTATAAAGCTGATTATATTTTACTCCTTCGGCTGGATTCAACACGAAAATTACAATAGATATTAAAATAAAAGAATAAAATTCCATTGAAAAATAATTTAATATTACAAATAACTCGTTTGAAACTTAGGGATATTTAAAATGAATTTGTGCAAATGTGTTTATTAATTTATGTAATTTGTTTGCCAGAAAAAAAATGTGCATCGAATATAATTTTTCTTTGTTATGATAAAAATATATTATATAAATCTATTTTAGTGTGTATTTTTATTTGTTGAATAATTTTTTATGTAATATGCAAATTATATAATGACTAAGTCATTGGGACAAATTTTTACTTTTTTAAATTATAGTACGTACCATAAGCTTTAGTTTGACATATGTTTAAAGGACACAGTATTTTTGGAACTTTTATAAAATTTAAGTTGAAAAAATTGAGTTTTGTAAAAATTTGCTATTTTGAATCCATTATTGTGGGCAGGTAAAGAGTAAGAATTTCAAAAAAAAGATATCAATTAAAGTAAAATTACCTAACGATTATATTTAAAAAGAACGTAAGAGTTGAGAAAAAGTGGTAAATTAGTTGTCATAAAAAATAGAAAATACACAGTATAGTAATATTAATACTTTCTCAGCTTCTCATTGAAGATAAGAATGATATTTGTAGCTGTAATAATATAGTTGTTTGGTTAAATTTCAGATAAGTGGACACTTTATGATCTTAAGCCTAATCTCTTTTTTTAGGAGTTGCCTTTTATATTGAGGTCAGTGTTCCTTTACTAACAATCCCAAAGAAACGAAATATTAGGAAATGTATGAATTTATGTATAATTTTTAATTTACCAAGAATTCAGAGCACTCTCCAACAAAATCGAATTTTGCTCTATGTAGCTTCAGTTTTACAAAAGTACTTATATTAATTTTACTTGTTATATTATTATTTATATCTAGTACTTTTACTTACCTTTGAGTAAGTTTAAGTGAGCATTTACTCAATAATTAGTAGTACTTAGGATTGAATGAAATATATAGATCTGATCGTCTGACCAAAACACAAAAATCCTAAATCTCAAACAGCATTTTTAAAAAAATAATGATATAATAATATTTTTATAACATTTGTAACGTGACAAAAGAACCTATTTATTTTCTGTCAATTGTATATATATGAAGAGTGAATGTGTTAAACGTTCTAAGTGCCAAAAAAGTGAAAATTGTTTTTTTTCTGATTTATGTTCTATGTGCCAAAGGCCACAATCTTGTATGTGTTTCAAATGTCAATTAAATTTTTTACTTGTACAAAATTGCATTCATAGATGGTGTTCGTTGTGTGAGGCATGCCCATGTTACCATTATTTTTTGTGTTTTCTGAATAAATATGTTTTTGGCACATAGAGCGTTTGATACATTCATTCTTCATATACAGAGTGATTTTTTGATCATAACCCACTCAATTACTTACAGAATAATAATAAATTAAACATTTTTTTTTCGATTATCTTTAGTTACACATCATTCTTAAATTATTAACTATGTAATACTTTTTAAGTTCATCCTTTATGCCTGGTAAAACTTTGTTTTTTTAAATGGGAACACATATTTTGAATTTAATAAAATCAATTAGCTACCTGTATTTGTAATCCCTTGTGTATTATACCTATACAGAGTGGCCCACCACTCACTGACAACTTAAATAACTTTTGATCCAGTTAATATTTTTAGCTGATTTTTTTTTTAAATAATAGTTATACGTTAGGTCCATAGCTATATCTCAATAATTAATTTTTTTACATTTTATTAAAAATATTATTTATTTTTAAATTTTAAATAAAATGTAAAAAAAAAATCTAAGATAGCTATTTTGTAGAGTAGAATTTAAGAAAAATTTTAGTAAAAAAATATCTTATTAATATTCAGTAGTAAATATTCTGTAGCGTTTTGAAGTTTGTGAAAATTTGAATTTTCATGTATTATTTTACGGTATTAAACATTGAAATACGTATTGAGAAAAGGACAGAAGAAAACGCTATCTTTTCAATATACTTTTGAATGACAGTGATAAGTAATAATTGCCTTATCTAATTTCTTATCATGGTATTAATGCCCAGTTTGTAATGTATATACATTATCATCATATGTATACACAGTAATCATGAAAAGATAGCGTTTTCTTCTATCCTTTTCTCAATACGTATTTAAATGTTTAATACCGTAAAATAATAGTGAATAAGTGCATTTATTATCAAATATCCTAACAAGGAATATTTTATAATAATATGATTACAATGACGAGAATGTAAGAGAGAGGTTATCCATATTATGATAGACGCTATCATAATATGGAATTACGATAGGCTATTCTGTTTATGTCCACAAAAATGATTTCTTACTTAACCATTTACATTTACCATAAACAACATTTC